TTGTGTGTGTGTGTGTGTGTGTGTGTGTGTGTGTGTGTGCTGCTGAGTCACATGACTCAGTTTCTGCCTGGATACTGCCAGCAGAGTGTGACCATATAAAACAGGCTCAAGTGAACGCTTCACCAGACGATTTACAAATGCCTCCAGGTTCATCTGTGTATTTTATTTCTAATCARTCTGTTTTTCTGCTTCAGTCTGGAGAATGTGAAATATCCTGTTTATTAAATAATTTATCTTTAAATAGAATGGTTTTAAATCATTAATTTATTTTTTTGTTTTTTGGAACATAAAATACATCATGAAACACTTTTATACTTGTATTAATTACTTTCATCTTTTATTGTTTAGTGCTGAGAGGTTAGCTGAGGATTCAAACCCATCTTTTTCCAAGATCCCTGCTGCCACTGAAGGCTTGGCTCCAAAGGTAACTCACTGTAATTACTGTGACTTTAAAATAGCTACTCTGTTGTGTTTTTATGCTGCTTTTATAGCTGGTACTTAAACAGACAAAATAATAATACATCACATGGCAGAAAAACTAAAATAACTTCGTTTGTTTTTGCTTTTTCAGCTCAACTTCTATGTTGCAGCTCAGTTTTATTATTTTTTTCTCTCTTTTGAATTTTTAAACATGCAACACAATCTTTGAGTTTAATCCTGTGACAGAATCTGGTTAATCTGTAAAATATATACACATATTTGTTGTCTTGCAGGTTAAAGCAGAAGAGTTTGACCTGCCGATCACTGCACCACCGTCTGACAACCTGATTGACTTCACTGATCCTACTCCTCTTGTAAGTCTCATCACTTTATGTTGTAAGATGGATTTGTTTGTCTCAAAAGAAACACCGTAGCTTATCTGTGTCAGCTCACCTGCACAGGTACGGGTATTATGGAAGCTGGAGAGGTTATTTTAGCCCGAAACACACACTGGTAGTAAATAAAGGTTGGCAGTTCTGAGCTCCTCCTCAATGAGGTGTTTTCAGTGTTTCACAGCTGCTGCAAACTGAGATTATTACAGAAAGACCTGCAGAAAACTCGATTCAGTTTGAAAACTGAACGGGAGAAATGTGGTGGAAGTTAAAAAGTGCTGTAAAAGAGTCGGAGAAACGACCGGAGGATGTGATGTCATCTTGTTGTGTTGAAGCTTCCTCCTCCGGTGCAGCAGCTCAAACCTCTCCTCACGCCTCGCTGGATCATCCCTTCCAGCGCTGTGAGTTTACGTCTTTGGATCACGTCTTTGTCCCCTTTTTAAATATTTTATAAATAAGTAATTTTTTTTTTTTTTTATGTGCAGCCTCCTGGCATCTTTACCAACGGCCTGCTCGACGTAGACCCCTCAAATAAAGTGACCCCTCTTCTGGGCGAGGGAGTAGCTGCTCTCATCCCGACCCCTCCCCACCTCGCTCACACACGTAACGCCATCCCCACCAGGTAAGATTCATGTAGAAAAGAAACAGCTGGAGTCAAGATTAGATTAAAACCTTTTATAATAGAGGTGCAGCGATAAATCGGCCAACCGATTCACAAATACCTCGGCGAGTTATCGGTGCCCATTTCCTCACTGCAAAAACTGTCCATCTTATCAAGTTTTAAAATCTTATATCAGCCAAAAAGTCTTTTTGATCTTGTTTTGAGACTGATTTACTAAACAAGAACTGATTGTGTAAGAATAA